ACACCTGGCATGTTCCCGAACACAGTGACAGGTATGACAATGCCCCCATTCAATCCTCACACGTTGCACCACGTACTAAGAATATCCCGTAGACGGGGCCAGCAGGTGGCATGGTAGTTGGGGGCGCTGGACTCCCATGTGGCCGACTGCGGTTTGAGTCCCGGACCTGGCGGCTTGCTTTCTCACTTTCTCTCTCTCATTTCTGTCTCTGTCTGGTCAAATTGAAATAAACAAATGAATAAATAAATAAATAATATCCCGTAGATACATAGGGTTATGGCATCGATGAGGAAGCCACACACAGAAGCTGGAAACACCAGAGCACCTTCACACGCATGTACTGATTCCTCCTCTCCCTTCGAATCTTTTGTTTGCTTGGCAAATCTCATGTGTGCATGTATGCACATGCATGTATGCCTCTGTGTGTGCACGCCTGTGCATATGAAGGGTCTTCAAAAAGTTCGTGAAAATGTGTATTCTTTAAAAAACATGCATGAATTTCAAAAGTTTTGCACCAAAATAAGCTCGTGTTTTGTTTCCAGTTTCCACAGACTATCTAAGGTCCTCTCCTATGTGTAGGCGTGTGCGCGTGTGTCCGTGTGAGCACACGGGGCGCACCTGGCCACCTGTCCTGTGCTGCGTCTGGGTCCCCGTTTCAGCACTCAGGCAGAGCAACCCTCTCCGACCTTTCACCCGGGCTTCTAGAGCGAGAGTCGGGGGCGCCAGGACTGACCTGGTGCAGGCTGAGCAAAGGCTGTGAGGACAGCCGCCTGCATGGAAGACCTGCACCACTCAATGCCCCCGAGGCGGGGCTCCCGCAGAGGCCCCAGCAGGCCAGGGCCACGGACTCGCTGTCCTCTGGGCCAATGGGTGGGCAGAACCCAGCTGGCGAGCGGGCCAGGGCTCCTGCCCTGACCACGCAGCCCTGAGCAAGTCGCTGTGTGTCCTGGGCCTGTCCACCCCGCAGTATACGGGCTGCTCGTCCAGAGAGGTCAGCGCTGCCGACCCAGGACACAGCACCACTGCCTCGGCTTGAGTGGAAGCACCCCCACCACGCCCGGGAGAGTGTGTGGGCGGTGGGGGAGGGCAGGGCCCTCAGAACCCACAGCCTGGTCATCCCACCTCGAGGGCAGCCCAGACACTGGAGGGAGCAGATCAGCGTCTGAGTCCAGGTGCCGTGCTCAGGCCCGGTCTGCAAAGTCCCTGGTGTGCGTGTGCACGTGCGAGTGCGTGTGAGTGCGCATGTGAGAGTGTGAGAGTGCACGTGTGAGCACGCAAGAGTGCACGTGTGTGAGTGCGGGAGTGCAGGTGTGAGAGCATGAGAGTGCACGTGCAAGCACGCGAGAGTGCACATGTGAGAGTGTGAGTGCATGTGCGAGCACGCGAGAGTGCAGGTGTGAGTGTGAGTGCACGTGTGAGCATGCGAGAGTGCACGTGTGTGAGTGCGGGAGTGCAGGTGTGTGAGCATGCGAGAGTGTACGTGTGTGAGTGTGGGAATGCAGGTGTGAGAGCACGAGAGAGTGCATGTGTGTGAGCATGCGAGAGTGCACATGTGAGAGTGCAAATGCACGTGTGAGCACGCGAGAGTGCATGTGTGTGAGCGAGGGTGTGCAGGTGTGTGAGCGCGGGAGTGCACGTGTGAGAACATGAGAGTGCAGGTGTGAGAGCACGAGAGAGTGCATGTGTGTGAGCGCGAGAGTGCACGTGTGAGCGTGTGAGAGTGCACGTGTATGAGCGTGAGAGTTAGGGTAGGTACGGTAAAACGGAGACATTTGTCTCTGTCCCCGGTTCCTACCCAGAGGTCCTCGAACCGTCGGGACGCAGGCCTGGGAGTGCGGATAAGAACATGTAAGTAGAGGCCAGAGCTTCCTGTGTGCCTCGCAAAAGCCAGGGCTAAGGTCAGAACCCCCGAGCAGGGAAGGGTGTGTTCAGAGGGGGACGGGGGCCCGGTCCCCAGCCCGCCCTTGCATGTGCCCTCCCCTTTAGGACAAAACGCACAGCAGGAGCCCCACTCTCCGCCCGTGAGGCCTTCTAGGACCTGCGGAACCCGAGGGAGGGCCGCAGGGGCCCACGAGCAACTGGCAGCATGCGCCGGGGTGCTGTGGGTGCCCGTTTGCTGCTGGCAGTAAAGGGAGGGCACTCTTGTGGGACACAGCCCTACCTGGGGGCTCGGGGTAACTCGTGTCAACGCCACTGATCGCTGGGTGCCCAGGTGCTGCGGAGAACCGAACTGGTTGGTGTCAGGAAAAGCCACAGCCAGAGGAAGCCCTCTGACGTGGCCTGTGCTGTGCTGTCAGGTGCCACTAGTCCTGCCCAGAAGCTTCTCCCTCCTGTCAGAGCCCCGAGACTCCGACAGTGCTGGAGCGGCCCCGCACATACGTGTGAGGGAGCCTGAGCTCAGACACGCCTCCTTCAAAGGGACAGCCTGACCCACCTTGCCACGGTGCCCCGTTCTCCCTCTCCACGGAGCTAGTCCCGCCCATGCAGGTGCTAGAAGGCAGGTCCTCACACCCTTGTGTAGAACGGCCCGAGCACCGAGGCCACCTGCGTGCTGTGCAGCAGCCCCAGGGGAGGCAAGAGGTCGAACGCATCTGCACGTGGCCAGGACACGTGCCTTCCTGAGCCTCCCCACGCAGTGTGCGGCAGCAACGAGAGTTCCAACCCCTAACGCGGCAGAGTGGTGGTGATGACGTAACTTCAGCGACAAGGCCACGAAAGGCACTGTGGCTTCTGTCCCCTCAGGTCATGCACCGTGCAGGAAGCTGGTACCCATCCCGGGACACTCAGGACTCTGTGGAGAGCTGGTGTGATAGGAAGCAGGGCCGCCCACTGACAGTCAAGTCAGACAGCCCTACTGGAAGTGGGCCCTGCAGCACAGATACGGCCAGTGGCCTCTGACCGACACCCCGGGACGCCGAGCCAGCAACCGGAGGCTCTTGATCCTCAGGCCTGTGGGAGGTGATGCCTGTCTGGGCTAAGTGGCAACAGCATGGATAACCATTACAATGCCGTCCGGATGAAGTGAAGGGTAAGCCCCTTTTCTAGACCTGTGACGCCGCTTTCTTTCTTTTTCTTGGAGAGGTTTTTGCTATAGGGCGTATGTGCTCGCCAGAAAGACAGGGAGATAGAGACAAAAAGCGAGAAATCACCCCCCAGGGGGGATGGCCACGCCACAATCCCTTCTCCTCCATTCTCCTCTCAGGATCTTGGGCACGCACGCACACCCAGCGTTGAGTTTAAGCCACTAGATCCGGGACACAAACCGCGGTCGACTACATGGGAGTCCGGCAACACAGCCATTATGCCAACTGCTAGTCCCAAAACGGAACCCTAGTCCCATGAAGTGGCCCGTATGGGGATCGAACCTGTGACCTTGGCGTTATTAGCACAATGTTCTAACCAACTGAGCTAGCCAGCCACCACAGTACGCTGCTTTCTTTGCATGTGCTCGCCAGAGACAGAAAGCAAGAAATCATCCCCCGGAGGGATGTCCACTCTACAATCCCTTCTCCTCCATTCTCCTCTTGGGATTTTGGGCATGTACACATGAACCCAGTGTGAGCTTAAAGCTGCCAGGTCTGGGACGCGAACTGTGGTTGACCACGAGGGAGTCCAGCAATGTAACTGTTACGCCATCTGCTGACCTGACGCTTTTCAACCGGTGACAACCCCGTGTCCTGGCCCAGGAGTCACTGCAGTCCCAGGGAGACGTGCTGAGGAGGCTCCTCGCGTCCCTGCCCGCTGCCTCTCCTGACGCCCACACCGGGTCCGCCCTGCGTCCGGCCCGCCTGTGCTGCATCTTCATGAAGTCTGAGTGCCGTGGGGAAGTCCCGAAGAGTGAGGCCTGTAATCACTTCCCTGGGGCTGTGGTCCTCTCCTGAAGGGCCAGAGACTATCTTATCAGACTACTCAGAAACTCGGGTTACCTGGCATTCCAAAGGGGGCAGGACCACACACTGAATCCACTCGAGACGGATGTGCAAACCATGGCTCCTCTAAAGACAGAATGGGGCTGTGAGTCTCGGTCCAGGCCCTTCTTCAGAACAGTCAAACTGGCCAGCTGTGTTGGCAACCAGCAGGCGACCCAGGCAAGCCCGGCATTGGGAGTCAGAAGTGGCTCCTCCAGGCAAGGCTTGGGTCAGCAAGAGATTAAGGTGCTGGATCCCACAAGGCCAACAGAGTGCTTCGTCCTGAACCCAGTGGCTTGAAAACCACACCAGGCACGCGTGCATGCATGTCGAAAATCCCGTGGGGGGAGGATGTGGTGTGGCCGTCCCCCGGGGAGTTCTCTTTCTCCCTAGTGAGTGCAGCTACTTGGGAAAGATGAGTGCAAGGAGAGAAACGGACCCGCACACGCTCACTGCAGTCAGGCCATCAGCACGTTTATTAAGCTGAGTACATGCGAGGGAGTTCAGCGTCACCACATACTTCATGACCACAGGGAACCTTCACAGGGCCAAACTTGGTTAGTATTTTACATAACACAGGAAAACTAGGTCTGTAAACTGCTAGAAAAGGAGTAAGGAAATCGGGGATAGTATATACATAAATTATAGAAGACAGTTACGACAGACTTCCACCCTCCTCTCCAGGGGCGTCTACGTCGCTGACGGGGCCGTCCGTGGGCCACTGGGCACAGGCGCTGGGCCCCCAGGCTGCGGCCCTCAGTTTCTCGCGGGTGTGCAGCTGCTCTTCACCGTCTTCTTCAGGTGGTGGTAATTCGGCAAGATTTTCATCAAGAAATCCAGCTGCAGTGTCTGGGGCTAAAAAATGAGGTGATCAGGCAGCCGTGTCTGGAGGCTGTGGTCCAGGCCATTTTTGCTGGCTATAAGCAGGGTCTCAGGAACCACAGGGAGCACATAGCTCTTAAAATTGAAGGTGTTAATGCACGAGATGAAATGGAATTCTGTTTAGGCAGGAGGTGTGCTCATGTGTACAAGGCAAAAACAGCACAGTGACTCCTGGTGGCCAACCAAATAAAACCAGAGTCACCTGGGGAAGGTTACCCGAGCCCATGGAAACAGTGGCATGGTTCGAGCCAAATTCCGAAGCAACCTTCCTGTTAAGGCCATTGGACACAGAATCCGTGTGATGCTGTACCTCTCAAGGATTTAAAATAACGAAACGTAAATGAATAAAAATGGATTTGGGTTGTTAAAAAAAAAAAGGGAAAAAAACACAAAAAGGGGATTAAGGCTGACGAGCAGAAAGGAAAGCCCAGAGGTCCAGGCAGAGATGGTTATTTCTACGCTGTGAAATTACAGGCGACTTTTTAAAGTTTGCTATAGGGTGCATGTGCTCACTGGAGAGACAGAGGAAGTGAGAGAGGATCGAGTCCCTTCTCCTCCATTCTCCCCTCGGGGTTTTGGGCATGCATGCACACGTGCCGGGTGTTGTTCAAGCTACTGGGCCCAGGACTTGAACAGCACAGTCGGCCATGTGGGTTCTACCGCCTTAACCTCTGTGTCACCTGCTGGCCCCGAAAGGCAACTTTTACTGACTAATTTTTGCTTATCTGTTTTGCTTGTTAAAAATTTCCAATGATCCGGGACCAGCGGTTAGCGTAATGGCTATGTCGCTGGACTCCCACGTAGTCGACCGCGGTTCAAGTCCAGACCCGGTGGCTTAAACTCAAGCCGGGCGTGTGTGCGTGCGTGCCCAGGATCCTGAGAGGAGAACAGAGGAGAAGGGATTGCGGTGTGGCCATCCCCCCTGGGGGGTGGTTTCTCGCTTTCTATCTCTCTGTCTCTGTCTGGCGAGCACATGCGCCCTATAGCAAAAACCTCTCCAAGAAAAAAAAAAATTATAAAAAAAAAAATTTACAATGATCGTACATTGAGCTTGGCGTTAAGTAAAAAGCTGCACACAGAAATATAAAGAAATCCGTTTTCGACCTTGCTGTCAGTGCCGTCTGCTTCCGTAAGGTATAAAGACCCCATTCAGAAGCACACACAGGTCAGCCCCGAGCGCACTGCCACACTTGTGCCTGAGCCCGAGGCGACGTGCTCACCCAGCCCCACGGTGCTGCCCCACGGCAGAGCCCACCCAGGACTTTTGTGACAGACTCGTCTGCATGCTGTAACTCAGCAACCATGGGGGTCCTCGGGCCAGCGGGAACCACTGTGGTTAAGGTGAGTGTGGCAGTGCGCTCGGGGCTGACCTGTGTGCGCTTCTGAATGGGGTCTTTATACCTTACGGAAGCCAGGACAGACGGCACTGACAGCAAGGTCGAACCACAGTCCGAGTCACGGACCCGACCTGGCAGCTAGAAACTCATGCCAGGTACGTGTGTGTGTGACCCAGATCCTGAAAGGAGGATGGAGGAGAAAGGACTGTGGCATGGCCATCCCCCTGGGATGTGACTTCTCATTTTCCCTCTCTCTCTCTCTCTGGTGAGCACAGGTGCCCTATGACAAAAACCTTAAAAAAAAAGTTAAAAAGATCCTCATGTCAACGAAGCCTCAAAGTGGTGAGTCGTACCACGGGACACTGAACTGCCACTGGTTCCAACCTCCGTTCCCGAACTCGAGCTCCAGCCCCCCATCTCTGCTGCTATGCCGAGAGCCAGACGGAGCGCTGGACTGTCCTCCCCTCCCAATCTACGGAAGGGCCAGTTGCTATGAAAATAATGAAAAAGCCAAAGATTACAGGAATAGAGTGAGCTAAAAAGAACTGGAGTTTCAACTTCTGATAAAACATGGCTAAGATCTGGAGGCAAAGCCTGGAAAGTGGCTTCCTCTGGGGCAGGGAGGAGGAGGTGAGTGAGAACTGCGTGCCCAAGTCTGAGCCAGGAGGCTCCACCGCAGCCCTGCGCCCCGCACCCGAGCAACCGAGCGGCAAACAGCTCCCTGTTCAGGACAGTCACCCAATGTTTTACTTCAGTCACTTGCTTCGTACACGGTGGCCCGCCCGCCCGCC